ATTTAGACAAGAGCATGTTTGCTCAAGGCAACACTAAAAGTTTTGAAATATGGATCTGGATGGATCTTTGACATCTGGGATAAGCCAGGTTTTGTGCCAGCTCGTACAACAAAGCTTTTCCATATTGGAAAAATATCGTATTTTAGTCTGGTGCYCTATTGATCATATTACATTATGGTGATAGCTAAGGATTTGTCAAAACACACCAGATGTATACTTATCTGGTCTTTTATTGGGAATAATGTCAGTTAATATACCAGAATCCATGATGTTAAGTGTTATATCTTGCCAGAGCATGCACAATCTGGAATAGGTTAGTTTGTAGTTATAAAGATGTTTAAGGGTCAAACATATCCAAGTTCACCTAACAAATTCAGAGGATACACAAAGACCATTTATTAACAGCCAAAACAGTCTGATGTTGAAGACATTGTGTTTCTAACAGAGTGAGGGGGAAAGGGAAGTTGAAGATGGAACTGAATAGATCAGATTTGGGTGGTGGTAGCTGAGAATGATCCTAATCACATCCCGAAAACAAATCAAAAAGATGACTGAAATAGCTAAAGGAAAGTATTCACACTGTCCTTTTAAGCCATACTGAGGTGAACATTGGTATGGTAGTCGATGACAGTGGTCTTTAACAAACAGTAAAGTCGAGTGTTAAATTTAAAATGGTGCCACGTGCCAAGCCCTTTCAGTTWCTTCAGTAACCGTTGTAGTTTTTATTTAATGTTTGGTGTCTTTGTTAATTCAAAAAAATAGCTTTAGTGTTTTAATATGGTTTTAATTTCTTCTCTTGCAGTTCTCGTGTGTGTTCATATTCTGCAGCCCTGCTTTCAAGAATTGGAAATAAAGAAGTTAACTGGAAAATGCCAAATTATTTTTCATTTCCGAGTTGAGGGGGGCAGCACAGAGCAGTTGTGTTTAGGGCACCCACATGACTAGTGCCGGCCCTGACATTACAGTGCACCAGATCTTTGACATGTTATCATGATATCTGCATTTTTAAAACAAAGACAGACAGTGTCATGGTTCTGGTTTCACTTACATTTTTTGTCCATCGTTTAACTCCTTCATATCCTTTTGTCCTTAGCTTATCATAAAAGAAGCTGTTAAAAAAGTGGACCTTGGGGACAAAAAGGAGAAAGGAAAAAAAAAAAACAACAACAAATGACAGAAAACAGGAAGGAGTTGCATTCAGAAAACACTTTCTCTTGTTTCTGGATATATTCAAACAGTTAAATGTTTCATTAGTAACAGTCTACCAAGTGCAAATACCAAGTTTTTCCTTAAATGTTTTAAATCTACAGTTAGGTCCATATCTATTTGGACAGGGACAACATTTTTCTAATTATGATTCTGTACATTACCACAATGACAAAAATAATTTATAAATAATATAACTACTATACAGTTTAGGTAAAGTAATAAATGCTGATCTTTAACCAGTTTCTGGGAAAATAAAACTTATTTGTCTTCCAACCATTACTGAGACCATATCACCTGAAAGAGGCATGTCTAAAGGAAAAAAAAAAAAATCTTACTTTATCTGGAACAGAATCCATGACCAGGTCACCATACATGTTCATTATCTGCACAAAAAACAAACACATAATTCACAAGAATAATAATATTCTTCAAACTGATAAAGATACAAAGGTTTCCTCTTAAATACCTGGCATTAACATGCATTGTGGCTGATTTTGTAAACTCCCAAGAATGACTGTTTACACCTGTAATTATCTCAGATTTAATTTATTCGTTATTCATCCATGTGTGTGATTCATGGATGAACACAATGTGTTTTCCAAGCCTACCTAAAATGAATAAATGACCTAAAATGTCTGGTAATTTAACCAGAAAAATCTCACTGAGAGCACAGATCATTTTTTGCATAAAATAAAGAATGTTGTATTGTTAATGAGTGATTAATTAATATTTATTATTCACTTTAATGTTTTTAAATAAAGCAACATTTTAAAAAGGACAGTACTTTGAGTACCAGGAGAGCTGTAGAGATTTTGATATTTACCCTTTGCAATTTAGATTTTTTGTACTTGTATTTGTTTTTTATGTTGTATGTTAAATTGTGATATAGGGAAAATATTCTGCCATATTTGTGACCCATCATATAAAAATGAGGATTAAGTCAAATTTAGACAAAATGATCTAACTCCATTTTCAGATTCCAGACTTTAAAAGCTACATTGATACCTGAATCATCCTGATATTGTAAGCTTATCCAGAGATATGACTTAATTTGTCTTGTTGGTTACATTAATGCATTACTGTTTGGTCTAAATCCTAATTTCATGTAAATTTAGTGAGTAATTTTTGATATTAATATAAAAA